TTTACATTTACATATTTACATTACATCACATCATTGGCAATAAGCAGACGCTCTTATCCGGAGCGACTTGTGCATATAATAAAGCGGAATGCAAAATTACGCAACATTGCGTCATTTTTATAATCGATTTAAAATGTTTAAGTCTTCTGGGATGGAAGAGCAGTAACAAGTCATGCAAGTTTAGGCTTGGTCTTGTAAATGACACGCCTTGGCAGCAGTGCATGCTAGGAGAGATTTTGTCATCGATGCAAGATTCTGCTATACACGAGTCTGAGAACTCAACTCAATGACAATTTTTGTTGATGAAAATGGACACGTAATTCCTATCCATAATTGGCACGTGTTACTCTCTCCATCCACTGTCCACGCCCTCCAAGACCACATTCCCATACATTTCCGTCTGAAGATTGATGGGTAGCTTCTGTCTGTCGTTAGGAGTGAGTGGAGCGCAGTGTTCACACAGGAGACAGGTGATTTACATAAAACAACCAGAATGACATACCGACACAATGCCCTGCTTTACTGAAAGCCATTATGCCTACGCACTTGTTACGTTCAGCTCATTGAAACGAGCATGCGTCATTGACGTTTTATTTTGTTTTGCACGACTGTTCCTCCCACGACTTTTATCGCATGGTCTGGCAATATTCTGCAAATCTGAAAACAAACAAGGCAGGAGTTTGCAGTATTTTTGGTGAAAACTCAAAGTTATTCGAAACTGATTAGTTGACAACTATGGTAGCTGTAATCTGTAAAGACAAAATGTCCAACAGAAGTGTACAAAATATTGTAGATCATTAACAGCATATTCATTTTATCTCCTTAGTTTTTTGTGTTTTCTTGACTTTAAGACTTGTTTCCACCAGGACTGTAAATGTGATGCACTCATAAAACTGGATTTTTTTTTTTTTTTTTTTTCCTTTTTCAGGCACTTTTGTCAGACAGAATTGTCATGTGCTTTGTTGTCAGACTGTGTTAATTGCTGGGCTGTTGACCACTGACTCTGCTGGAGGTCAGACCTATGGCTGTTGCAATTCAATAGAAAACACAAACGCCCATTTTGAATGGCTTTAAACCAGCACAGTAAAGGCCAGGCAGCATACACGTGGAAGGCAACTAGAGAGAACACAGAATTATATTAATATTCAGTTTCTGATTAAAATGTTCTCTCCCCTTCTCACGCATCACCTTTCTCTGCACCCTCCTGCGCTCCCTCTCCAGCACACTCGGACATGGTGTCGGACTGGCCTGGGGTTTGGGAGGGGGGCAGGGGAGAGAGGCGAACAAGAGAACTGTCTAGCTCAGCTTTCAGGGCCAGTCAGGACATGCTCCGCTTTGGAACATGGGTCAGGGGTTGGCTGCCTGCTATAGCCTCCTGAAACCTGATGAAAAAGACTGCTCACTCCATAGACAATCAGAACATTATAAGCTAGGGGTGGAAAACACCCCGATTTCAGAGTTTTTGCTAGGTTATTGGTTTTGGACAGTGACAGACTTTTGGGCTATACTGTTCTGTTGGGTGTTCAGTTAATGGAAAACTGAAATGCTTTTTCTAGTAAGGTGTTTTTAGTTGGGTATAATTTGTTCAGTTATGATAGATTGTTTGACTTGAAAGTGAATAAAAAATGTGATTTCTGTCTTCAACAAGTCCAGAAACCCCTTTGTCATCTTACATTTACATTTATTCATTTGGCAGACGCTTTTATCCAAAGCGACTTACATAGGTTACAGTTCTTTACAATGTTATCCATTTATACAGCTGGATATTTACTGAGGCAATTGTGGGTCAAGTACCTTGCCCAAGGGTACAGCAGCAGTGTCCCAGCGGGGATCGAACCGGCAACCTTTCGGTTACAAGTCCTTCTCCTTAACCACTATGCTTCATCTTTATTTACTTTTTTGAAAATTCTGCAAAGAATGCATTGTCATGTACATGCACATGCCATGGAATGATGCAATAGCGCTATTGCAGACTCAGCTTGTCAGTGTGTGTTCTGAGTAACTCTTCGTCATAAGCTAGCTGTCCGGGCAGTTTCGCTCAGCGAGGGACCTGTCTGACAATCGGCATGCAGAGAATCTGACCCCTGGCCACCATTCGCCATTTCTAGGCCCAGACTGCACACCTGGTTCTGGAGGATGGCACGCGGATGAAGGGATTCTCCTTTGGGCACGGACGCTCCACTGCTGGGGAGCTGGTCTTCAACACTGGCCTGGTGGGGTAAGCCCTCCCTCCAGGCATTCATGTGGAGAAAGCAAAGACCTACGCAGCAAGCGTTTGGCCCTTTTGGGTACTTCCAGCAGAAATAACCAGAATCGCCATGCGTTTTGACTCGTTACAAACATTAACTTTTTCAATGTCTAACACCATTTAAACCAAAAGAATTTGGAAACAGTTTCTTAAGGCCACACAATAAACAGCCAGACTTGAACCTTTTTCACTTTCTTCCTTATCATCATCATCTTCTACATCTAAATTTTCTTTACATCATTGAAAATGTTCTGGAACCTGGAGTGTTAATGCATGTTAATTAATGCATGTTCAGTATACACTTGTTAAATGAATGTGTACTTCATGTTTAATGCTTGTTTGTTTTATTCTTTATTGGTTCATATTTTGCTGATTACCTTGTTTTTTTCCAAGTCCTGAATTGCATCTGGATGTATATGCAGTGGCATTTATTTCTATTAATAATATTTTTTTTATTATTTAATGCATCTGCTTCATTAACTGAGGCATGCCTGTGCTGTATTTATTCAATAAAAATAAATAAAGTGAACTCTTTTCAGGTTCTGCCAATGAAAATTGTTTTGTGTGAAATGTAGTGAAAAATTCCAAAATTGATTCCAAATGTAAAATACTGACAGTAAAATCTGGATCCAAAAGGGAATGTGGCTATGATTCCACATCAGAAAAACCAGGGCAAATCTACATCCAACACTACTGATAAAAACTATCGTGGTTTTGAAAGTTTGCTAACGATAGTTTGGTGCCTGTTTTTTATTTCTCACCCACATACAAATGAATAATATTAATAAAAACTCATAGCACTGTACCTGTCATTTGAGATTCATTATGTGACCCCCGGCACAGGTACCCGGAAGCCTTGACAGACCCCAGCTACAGAGGACAGATCCTAACTCTCACCTACCCCATTGTGGGAAACTATGGTGTGCCCAACACAGAGGAGCTGGACAAGCTGGGTTTGCGAAAGCATGTGGAGTCAGAGCGCATCCAGGTGGGTCCTGGATCTTCTGCAGCTTCTTTGGTACAGACAGAAATCTTACACCTCTAATCGACAGGTCAGGATCACACCTTGTGGTTCTTCTGAGAATAAAGAATAACCTAACTGTGGTCTCGCTTGAAACCGAAATGCAATAATAGTGTGCTTCTAAAGCATTAAAGGTTTTGTAACAAGTAAACATGTGTAACCTCTGATTAGCAGTGGGTCAAACTTTGACTGAATGTCAGTCTTGATTTAAAGAAATTAAGTGTGTCAAATAGGTGTGATGACAGAAATACATTTGCCTTGCCCAGTCCCTGGTTTCTGTGGTAACGGGGTAACACTCATGATGTTTCGGGTGTTACGGTGTGTGCCTGTAGGTCTCCGGCCTACTGGTACAAGACTACAGCCATGAATACAGTCACTGGAACTCAGTCAAGTCCCTGGCGCAGTGGCTTCAAGAGGAGGAGGTATGTCTTCCTTGTTATTACTCACTGTCTCTAAACATGTCAAAGTGACTTTGGCAAGGCATTGGTATGAGGATTGCTGCTGTAGAATGCATTACTGTGTAGGTGATGTGGACATAGGGGGCCATCCGGTGTGTGTGCTTTTCTCTGTCTGCCTGAGTAAATGTACTAGCTTTAGTTTTTCTGTGAATCCTCAACTCAGCAATATGCGTTGTCTTCTGTGAAGGTCCCGGCGCTGTACGGAGTGGACACCAGAATGCTGACCAAGATCATCAGAGACAAGGTGCTTTGGTTTTTGTCTGTCTTGGATAAGGGGGTCTGAAGTCACAGTAAGCAACAATTAATCATCCAAAAACTTCATTTGTTGACAAGAGTGGGGATTTCTAAAGTTAGAAGCATATGACTGCTGTAAATTTACCCTGACTACATTCATTGCACTGGCACTGTAAGGCAAACATGCAAAAAAGACCACTAAAAGCACATTATGGATTTCTGCATTTTCTGTCGAAGATGACCCTTTTATATGCCCTTTCATCATCAGGGGACAGGTTTGGGGAAAATTGAGTTTGATGGGCAGCCAGTGGAGATTACTGACCCCAATCAGAGAAATTTAGTGGCAGAGGTGTCCACAAAGGTAAGACCTGGCTGGTTACAGATTCATTACATCCTATTCTTACATCTTATCATCCATATTTTAAAAATGTCTTATAATTCATAGAAATTCATGAGGTCGCTTGGTGAATTCAGAGATCAGCAAAGACAAAGAACATTATCAGTATCTTTAGCTTTTAGCAAGTTAAAATGCCTACTGGTCTCGCCTAACTTTACATGCATTGTTGCTCATTTTCTAAGGTTATCTTCCTGAATGAGACTACAGCAGTCCACATGAGATTTGCACCCATAACCCCTGGTTACACATTCCAGTGCTTGAGCCTCCCTACCCTCCCTATTGTTCCCTATGACATTAGTGAAACATTCTATAGGAGCAACACTAATGAGGAATGCTCTTTGTTCTTCTGCAATGTTTTTATCCTGATGTGGTCATCACTTCACCTGTGTTACTTTCCAAGGAGACACAAGTGTTTGGGAAAGGCAACCCCATCAAAGTGGTTGCTGTTGACTGCGGAATCAAACACAACATCATCCGACTGCTGGTCAAGGTGAGGTATCCACCACAAGACCGCTGTTTTTTCTGAAATTGGAGGAAAATGAAATGGGGAATTGTTCAACGGTTGCTTGGTTGATGGGTGTTATTAGCAGTCCCAAATGATGGTGAGCAATTGAGTGTCCTTGTGTTTGTGCACAGGGGGCTGGCAGTGCAGCATAGTGGTAATGAGCAGGGCTCGTAACCGAAAGGTTGCTGGTTCAATTCCCGGCTGGGCCACTGCTGCTGTGCTTAACCCAGAATTGCCTCAGCTGTAAAAATGGATAACATGTAAAAATTGTAACCTATACAAGTTGTTCTGGATAAGAGCGTCTGGTAAATGACAATAATGTAATGTAATGCAGCGTGGAGCAGAGGTGCATCTGGTGCCCTGGGACCAGGACCTGCTGAGCCTGGAGTACGACGGCCTCTTCATCTCCAACGGCCCTGGCAACCCTGCGCTGGCTGGGACCCTCATCCACAACCTCCGCAAGGTATGTGTGTGTGTGGGGGCCACCAGGGAACACAACTGTCTGTTTTGGGGAAACCTCCATTCATCATTGGGGACAAATCAAGTAACTCTGTTCAAATAATTTTCAGCGCAGGAGACTCCAACAGGGATGGCATTAGCTGGCTATGAAGGTTTCATATAAAACGCTTTGCTTTGCAGTGATTTTGCTATCTTTTTTTTTAACTAAAATCTTGGTCAGATTTTAATGCTGATGTAAGCGTGCGGCTTAGGAAATGGGGAAGAGTTAGCGGTGTGCTCGCAGGTCAGGTGACCTGATGACCTTCCTGTGTTCTCAGGTGCTTGAGAGTGACCGTCCTCAGCCTGTGTTTGGTATCTGCATGGGGAACCAGATCACTGCACTGGCTGCTGGGGCCAGGTCCTACAAGCTTCCTATGGGAAACAGGTACACAGGCAGAGAACATGCAAGCATGTACTGGCTGTATTGTTGTTTTTTTGTTGTTGCACCTCTACGTAATGCATGTAAAAGTGTTACTGGTCTGAAGTTTACCACGGTTATGGTGTACGTTATATGAATGTATGCTATTATCTAAAGGATCACACCTCATAACCTGTTTTCCATACAATTAAGCCCTTGCCAATCACTGATTTATCATCAATGAGCTAATTAATGAATGTAACCCTGGTGGTTGGCAATGTCATTGTTTACTATAAGCCATATTGCAAAAGTAAGCATCCTCTGAGATATTGTCCCAAATATGGTAATCAGCAAATATGGTAAAATGCACATCTTTCCTTTACATTTTTACTCAGGATGTTCAGATTATCATGTGTCCAGGAATATTACTTTGTTCTGTATATGACTATAACCAGGATAACGGCTGTTCCCATGAACACTGTATGCACGTATATGTGGTCACTGACATTCAGATCCAAGGTCTAGGGCATTGACTACTACACCACATTATCCTGTAATGTGCTCGAAATTGTCTGGATTATATGATGGCTTTTTATGGGAACTGTATGCTTTTGCCTGAAAGTCAGGTTTTGTAGGATTAACTATACTGTAACAGTCATGTGGTCCAGGGCCATCCTGTGTCATCCCTCACGCTTGTCTCCCTTGTCTTATCCCACAGGGGTCAGAACCAGCCAGTGTTGAACCTGATGACGAATCGGGCCTTCATCACGGCGCAGAACCACGGCTACGGCATTGACAGCCAGTCCTTACCCCCTGGCTGGAGCCCCCTGTTCGTCAACGCCAATGATGGCACCAATGAGGTCTGTAGTCATGGCACCATATTGGCACAGTACCAAAGCATACTGATTGGGGCCAGTTTGAGTGAATATCACCTAAAACGGAGATGCCAATGCAGAATGAATTCATCTAAGAGCTGTTGAGCTGTTCTCACACGGATGTCGTCTTGATAGGTATTATAGTATCAGTGAACCCCCAGAGCTACTGGGTGGTTGTCACTATGAGACAGTGTCCATCACTGCGTTATAACTTGTTTAGCTGTTCCTAACCAGCTTGGTGTTTCAGTTATTTATATTTGAGATTTAAATACCTTCTCTGTCTGTTTCAAGGCTTATGTGCCTGTGTTGATTTTGTGATGATCTGTGATGATTTTGGTTGTGCATGTTTGTTTAACAGTTCAGTGAAACAGTTGCAACTCGGCTGGGCCCATTATGACATTGACTGTGATGAATGTTGCTTATATTATATCTGTACATGGTTGAGTTTCATATATAATGTCTGCTCACCCATTATGTTGAGTGCGTGTGTCAGGCATTTTAAACTGTTGACAGGTGATGTGTTCTTGTGTTGCATGCAAGACTGAGTGTCTCATCTCTGCGTTAGGGGATCATGCATAACTCGAAGCCCATCTTCACAGCGCAGTTCCACCCTGAGGCTAAAGGGGGCCCCACTGACACCGAGGTACTTCTGCAGATTATTGACAGACTGATTATTGACAATATGTCACAAACTTCTGTGGTTCTCGAAGCAGTGGAATATTGGATTTAGGGGTGTTGTGCTGTGTAGTAGTGTAGTAGTCACCATTGCGTGATCTGTGCTGTGCGGATGTGATTGCTGTGAATGAAGACATTTACAGATGAGAATTGGACGATGTCATATGCTTATGTTGCATCACAGTTCCTGTTTGACGCCTTCATAGCCATGATAAAGAAAGGGAAGGAAGCAACCATATTTTCAGTGATGCCCAAGAACCCTGACATTCCCAAGCGGCCTCAGGTACACTGCCTGCTCTTTCTGCGTGTGTATGTATGTATATAGGGTGAAGCAAAGGTCACTATTTGCTCATATTTCAAACATAAGAGTAAAATGTAACATCCTACATATGTAATGTTTAATAAACAATAATACCCTATAATGATTTAAAATCTTGAAACAGGAGTTGCAAGGCTATTGCATGATTCACAGTGGCATTACAGTGATGAAGGGCTGCAATGTTTGTATCTTTCTCTATAATGCACGTGCTTCCTGGGCAGGTGTCCAAGGTGCTGGTGCTGGGGTCTGGAGGACTCTCCATCGGCCAAGCCGGAGAGTTTGATTACTCTGGATCCCAGGCGGTGAAAGCCATGAAGGTGAGAGCCCAGGTGTGCTGCTGTGGCTCAGTGGCAGGTAGAACACCGATGGAAAACCGAATTGCAGAATGATGATCTTTTGATCCCAGCATGTTTTTTTTTTTTTTTCCTTTATTTGGTTTGTTAATTGTATGATTTGTCAAAAAAATTCCAGCAAGTCAAATTCTATGGGAATAGAGTGATTTTGGCAGTGAAAGCCATGAAGATGAGGCCTCAGGTGGGCTGCTGTAGGTCAGGGGCAGAGGGGACACAGAAGGAAAACTGAAATCGATCATTCCAAATTGGAGAATGATCCTTTGTTCCTAAATCTTTTCTGTTAATATTATTGGTAAGAAGTTCCAGCAAGCAAGTTAGGATGGGAATAAAGTGATTTTGAATGGTTGTTATGTTGGTTTTGCTGTAAATATGGTTTATCATGGAGTGCTGGTACAGGGGTGACTGTGCCCTGCTCTGCTGCAGGAGGAGAACGTGAAGACGGTGCTTATGAACCCCAACATTGCCTCGGTGCAGACCAACGAGGTGGGCACCAAGCAGGCTGACTCCGTGTACTTCCTGCCCGTCACGCCGCAGTTCGTCACTGAGGTCATCAAGGCCGAGCGGCCTGACGGCATCCTGCTATCCATGGGCGGTCAGACAGCCCTCAACTGTGGTGAGTGCGTGCATGTGCACGCGCACATACACACACACACACACACACACACACACACACACACACACACACACAAACACACACACAAATGTACATTGTTTTGTCAGGGAGATTTCTAATAGTTTTCTAAGAGAGCAACACCATCATTTATCATCTACCGTCTATCATTTTATTATGACATATGGCCTTCAGTGCAACTTCACTCTTTAGCTAGAATGTTCAATGAATGTTCAATGACTTTATTTGTATGAGATAATACATGTGCCTATTCAGAAACTTTCCTCGAATTATGTATTTGACACTCATGCCACCAAGGAAAGCAGCATTGTTAATAAACAAAAGTTGTACGTAAACTGCCAAGAGCAGCTCAGTTGCAGCAGTGGTTGTCTGTCAAGTTTTGCCAGGTCAATTAGTTTATTCAATCAAGCAACGTTTAACAAAATCAGACATGCAGGTGTGTGTACTTGGTATTCAACACACTATTCCTCACTGCAGAAATACAGAAGCCTACATGTGTAAATTGTGATTGACAGGGTACTGTGTTTTTGCTTCTTTTGTTCTTTTTTATTACCTCAACCTATGCAGTCTACAGTACACTTATTCACAACAGTTTAAAGTTAACGGCTGCACATACATGCGCACCTACACAGTATAACGTTTTTTTTTTTCCATTTTTACCTTTCAAGGTGTTATGTTAAATGTGATGAAATGTTTGTGAACAAGTTTTTAAACTCAGTTTTCAATCTCTGGCTGTTAATATGTTGTGCCCTGGCAGTGCTAGTGATAGAGACGTTAAGCCCTGGCAGCTCTAGTGATAGAGATATTACCCCCTAGCAGTTCAAGTGTTACAGATGTAAAACCCTGGCAGTTCTATTGTTACAGATGTAAAATGCTGGCAGTTCTAGAGGTACAGGTGTAAATTCTGGCAGTTGTAATGTTAGACAGCAGTCTGCTGGAGGCCAACCAGCAGTAGGGCTGCAGATATGAAGAATCCATAACCTTCTGCTCGTGGCGGGGTTGTAACCACCACTATGCCCCTTCACGAGTCAAAAGTAATGCTTTCAGTAATCTTTTTACATTTTGTTTTTGTAGTGAATCAGGTGTGTGTGTGTGTATCTGTGTGTGCTTCCAGGAGTGGAGCTCTTTAAGACGGGGGTTCTGCAGAAGTATGGGGTGCAGGTGTTGGGGACCCCTGTTGAGTCCATCATGGCCACAGAGGATCGGCAGCTCTTTGCTGACAAGCTGATGGAGATCAATGAGAAGATGGCACCCAGCATCGCCGTGGAGACGGTAAGATCACAGCTCCCCCAACCCCCACTAGCTGTTTACAGGGACCACATCAAGCAGTTTTTGTTTCTTCACGCAGTGTTTGTGGTCTGCTGTTCAGTATAATGTATGTGTGGTCCTTACACAGTCCTGTATCAAGCTTGCAAATTAGGAGCTAAAGGTAAAATGTAGATAAAATAACAACACTGCTGGTATCAATCACATACCTGAAATGACTGAAAGGCCATATAT